CCCGCCCCCTCTCAGAGCCGACGGCGCGAACGTCCCTGCCCGCTGGGGGAAGGGCGCGGAGGAAAGCCCGCCCTTGCCCTGCCCCGTCGCAGTCCTCAACCAGGTCGGACCGCTGGCAATATAGAGACGCAGTAGCGCCAGTATCCGCCACACGCTGCTTCGGTGTAGGGTGTTGCGATCATGTCTGGTAGAGGCAAGGGCGGGAAGGGGCTCGGCAAAGGGGGCGCTAAGCGCCACCGCAAGGTGCTGCGCGACAACATCCAGGGCATCACCAAGCCGGCCATCCGCCGCCTGGCTCGGCGCGGCGGCGTGAAGCGCATCTCGGGGCTGATCTACGAGGAGACGCGCGGCGTGCTGAAGGTGTTCCTGGAGAACGTGATCCGTGACGCCGTCACCTACACCGAGCACGCCAAGAGGAAGACGGTGACTGCCATGGACGTGGTCTACGCCCTCAAGCGCCAGGGTCGCACCCTCTACGGCTTCGGCGGCTAAATCGATTCCTGGGATAGGTTACGCTTTTAGAACACAAAGGCTCTTTTCAGAGCCACCCACTTTTTCAAGAGAAGAGCCTTAATCGCTGTTATCGTTCTGTTTTGTGCTTATCGTTGTAATTAAGCTCATGACGTGGGGAGGGAGAGACGAATGAGGATATTGGGCTTTCACGGTCTCCAGCTATGCTCTTCGCTGTCCATAGTCTACCCAGCAATCAGCTTTAAACAGCAACCGAATTTAGAATAGGTGATTGGGAACGTGCCGATTGCACTGCCGGGCAGAGTAGCCAGGAAACGAGTGTAGCGTTTGACACATGGCGCTCCCTGAGATCGAGAGAAAAACAAATCGGCTCTGAAAAATTACTCCCTTTCGTCCTCATATATTCCCCATTCTCCGCCTTACCCTCCCGGTCTGTCTTTGTAACGGGAATAGAATAGAGAAGGAGATGAGAACACCAGGATGCTGCTGAAAAGCGCCAGAGGGAGCTGCTGCACCGCAGCTGCCTGAACCGGGAAGCTCATGAAATGGCGGCGCTCTCCTCTCACATATTCGGGGGGGG